ATGTGCAGGTAAGTTGGGTTGTGACAGACATGCTCAGTTTTCTTTATTATATGTGATATGTACCTTTAGAACCAAGTCGCTATTTGCACAAGGCTAGCTTCTAGATTTAGAGATACTCTTTTTTACATGACAGACATGTATGTTGGAAGTATGCCTTCATGTCTGAAAATGTGCTTTTGCCTTTGGAATCTGTTCACTCAAAGTTCGTGAAATGGAGCATTGGGAATCTGTTTTATTAATACCCCTAGTAAAAGTTGTCAGTGTGTTATGAAGCAAAGTCTGGCGGAGCACATAGATCAGCTGAAAGCATTCATGTTCCGTCGCCTTTATTACTGCCGGTTGGAGAAAAGCTCAGAAAAAAGAAAACCACATGCCCGGCCACTGGACAAGAAACATCGAGGTGATGCCGTCTCACGGGACAGCTCACAGGCTAAAACAAGTGTCGCAAAAGTTTCGTGTGAACTCTCTGTTTTCAGCCCCTGCAAGCTTTCTGGTCTTAGTGCCTTTATCTCAGATAGTGAGCGCAATTCAGCCTGCCATACCAGTCACTGAATGGTTTTCACTAAGTGCAGCTTGGTGGCAGTTTATTCAATCTCCACAACCTGCGGAAACGTTAGTATCACCCAGACAGGTCAGTGTTTGAATGAACGCCTCAATGTTCATGCTTACAATGTGCAATTGGGCAGAGACAGTATGAAATGCTTGGAGTATACCTCATAAAAAAAGATAAGCATGTGTGCATAAGTGAGCCTTTTGTGCGTACCACAAAAAAAGTGTCTGTTTCTTTCAGGGAAGGACTGATTATCGGGCAGATGACAGGCCATGAGTTGTTGGTATGCGAATGCGTGAGGTAAAGTGTTTAAATAAGCACGGATGTATTAATAAAGTGGTCGTAAATCCGACGAGGGTGTATCATTGAATCTGCCTTTTTCTGTGTCTTGTCCCGAGTTTTTACTGGTTTTTCTCACCACTACGAATTTGTTTTCATTGTATGGCTATGCCACATCTTCGTATTTCAAATTGAAATTAAGTAGATATATATACGATCATTCAAATGTGGTAATTTGCCCTTGTGCTTCCTATTGGTAGCCTTCTAGTTAGCTCAGCAGGTAGCTGGACCGTAGGCATTGGTCGTCGTTTTAGTCCCCATACCTGAATGCATTTACGTGAACTAAGAAACTCTTTTCTGACAGACCCATATGGATTTCCTTGTAGCGTTGCGCTACAAAGCAGCTGAATGGCAGTTTTTCTATTGACACTTTATCTGTATACTGTACTAATATGGCACATCACAAAAAAAAATTCAAGAAATAGCTGAAGCGGCCAAACAAAAGGACAGCACTCGCTTCTATTGTTGACTAGCGTGGTGATTTCTTGATTTTCTGTGATGCGCTATAGCAGCTCAAATATGACATACCAACTCATCAAATTATTAACCATGATTCATATGCCTCAAACTTGCAGCATGTGAGCAGAATATCGTAAAATCTCGTTGAAAGGAATTTGCGAGGTCTCCAAAAATGTTTGTACAGTGCAGTCCACTTATAACGATACCACATATAACGATATATCGGTTATAACGATGGGTCGACTTAACAGTCTCATTTTATGCATTGGGGCTATGGGGAAAAAAACCATATATAACGATATGTTATCCACCGCATATCGGATACAACGATGAAAAGTTTGCCGTGGACGGCATGTTTCATTCAGAATAATCGGAACATTTAGATTGATAGGTTCCTCTGAAACGAACTATGCCGAGACAAGACGAAAAGTTAGCGTAGGCGAGTACGTATCTGCCGCCACTGCAGCACAGCGCCGGCAGCGCGTCCCGGCCGTTCAAAAAGCCGAGGAGAGCATCGCGAGTTGGCGCGACGCGCTACAGATGGCGCCAGCTGTGTCACGTTTTGCGCTTCGCTGCGCGTCGACCGCGGAGAGGCTGAGAGAATTAAAAAAAAAAATGCGAAAAGCAAAGCGCCGCGCTCGGCGGCTCCCCGCCTTCTACAACGGCAAGCCGCCAAGCTACTCGTAGCTTGCCGAACGAAAGCGGGAAAGAGGAAGAAAATAAAAAAAAGCAAAAAGCGAAGCGGCGCGGCGGCATCGGGGCGGGGCCTCGTTGGCATTCCGGCTGTGTACCTCTGGCTGTGCTTTCTTCCTCCCACTGCTCCCACCCCGCCGTCGGTCAGTCTCTCTTCCTCAGCGAACCCGTGATGCGTTCTTCGGAGTAAGAAATAGTCTTGTTTTTGACATCCTACTATCTACAATATTTATTAATTGGTGAAAATAGCGAAATGAAGCCTGGAGCTACAAAAGGTACGTCCGGCGACGATTTTTTGGCGGCAGTCCAGATATAACGATCACCGGTTATAACGATCATATTTTTAGGTTTTCTCGATATCGTTATAAGTGGACTGCACTGTATCACCAGAAAACATGCAAGATTAATATGCAACAAGACAATGAGAAAAAAGCTGACATACATCCTTATTTGTTGTTTCTCAGGGCTGCAGCAGCGTCACAAAACAGCTCCGAATGATTGCCAGTGAAGTCTCTAGATATTCATGTACTCGTAAATATACGGAGATAATTAATGAACTAGATGTATTGTGACCCATGACAGCTTGTAGCTCCTCCCTAATGTCGGAGTGCTTTGCTCTCAGTAGGCGAAAGCCAAAAACTTTTGGTACCGCTGACCTTTTTTTTTATGTTGCGATAGTGTGGGGTGTTTTTGGGGAAGTTCGCTCAAAATTCAGGGGTCTCCCATGCAAATCTAACAGTTTGCGGGTGCATGCATCCCCAATGATCGTGCATGTTGTTGTAGTGAAGCCTAGCTCCCTCGCCAAGACTGTCCACATCCTCTTTTGATCTTTGTCCACCGTCCATAGGATAGCTGATTGTGTTAGAGGATATTGCTTGTATCGACGCAGCAGGCAGATGTAAACACAGTACAGCGACGCGTCGAAGAAAAAACATTATACCAATGCCATCTCTAATTTAAACGCAAAGGCACAAGACTGTGTGTTAAGGCCTACAAGATTCGTGCACTCAATCTTGGAGGCTACAACACGCCTCTGTGCCCGCACTTATGTTCCCACATTCACGTGTGACTGCTGCGTCTTTGCGCAGTATCGCACATTTGTGTCAAACGTTGTGGGGTTTTAATCAATTCGAAACAACAGTCTTCATTACATTTCAGGGTAATGGACCTTGGCCAGGACCGTGTATCACCCCACAATTTGTTAGGGCCGTGATCGCATCAACGAGGTTCTACTGTAGTGTGTAATGTCAGCATGAAATACGGTGAGGGACACAGGGGTAACCTCCGTTGTTAAACCGCAGATTGCCGGGGCCTTTGGTTGCCCTTCACCATTGACACTAATTGTCTCTGTCACGGTTATTATTAGCCATGCATGATTCTTTGGGTTGCTAGCCTAGTTCCTGCAGGTGTTCTGACAAAGGAAAAAAAAACAATACAATAGAACCTTGATTATACGACTTTCAGGGGACCATGCGAAACCGTCGTATAATCCTGGCATAGTATAATAAAAAAACTTAGATTATAGTCAGTGACACTCAGCATTGCTCCCCCCCCTCCCCCCCCCCCCAAAAAAAGAAAACGGGTACAGACCTACTTGAATAAGCCCATGGCATGAGTTTGTGCCTCTGCAAAGTAGGTAGATTATTCTTGCCAGTGGCAGCTAACGGCAGCTATTCCTGCCAGTGACAGCTAATGGCAGCATTGTTTAGTTGGAGGAGGTGCGAGCGAATCTTTATTCTAAACTTTAAAAAAATCAAATCCAATGCCTCTTTGTACTGATAAACGGAGTCCGGAAATTGCCTACGTGTGAAAATAAAGCCAAAACCTCATTGCCAACAGCCTCGCGTCAGAAGAGTCGGACAACTGTCATCGCTATCATATAATAGTGACGGACCACGAGTTCGCATAGAATACGTTTATGTGTAACTGAGGTGTGCGCTTTGTAATTTGTTGGCTTGTGAAGTGCAAATTGTGATGTCCTGCTGTTATTATGAACATTGACGTCAAGTGAAAGTAATTTTGCAAAATAAAAACAGCTGCGCCCCGCAACCTTGTGACTGCGAGTATGGCCGAGGCAGGAGATCAGCTGTATGTTGACCAGGAAAAGTTTCCATGGGCGAAAACATGAAAATATGAACTCTTCAGCTGGCTGAAGCTGCTCTGTGTGAATAGAGCTTGCCTAGGATGTGACCCCTGGGTACGCATGTGATCAAGGCATATGTAGAAGCGCATCAACTTCCAGGAGAATAAATCTTTCATTCTAAGAATACATCCTGTCTCTCTACTTTTCTAATCATTGACCTTGGGGAACGCAAGTTTATATTTTACAGTCGTGAACATTTGATTCTAGTAAATGTGGCTTTTTCTTTAAAATGGAATCTGGTAGTCATCGTAAGATCCGGGGTCGGCTTAAAACCGAGTCGTATAACAAAGGTTTTTAATAACTTCTATGGGGATTTTGCCAGGGACAAATCGATTCGTCGTAAAATGCGGGTTGTTGTGAAAATGGGGGTTGTAAAATCAAAGTTCCACTGTAGTTATAAAGAAAAAGCCAAAAAAGTTTCTGCATAAAACAGTGAGCATTTTGGATAAGCCTATTCCTTTGTCTCCTATAAGAGACCATACTTGTAACTTGTGGTATTGTAAAATTAATTATAATTTCTAGCAGAAACAAAATAGTGTCATCATCTGCTATTGTCAAGGTAAAGCCAGTCTTGCTGCACACTTCATGTGGTGTTGTTTGTTTTGTGGTTCAAGGTTTAATCACATTAGCTGGAAAGCATATTTAGTCTCCTATTCAGTTTGCAGACATGTATTGCATTATATTTTCATCCAATTATCACAGCTGAGTACCACGTGCTGCATTGTAATGATGCCACCTAGGCTACCTAAGCAGCCTGTGGTTTGAGTCAATGCCCTTTTGCTTTGCACACACTGATTGCCTGCCACAAACACACAGGCTCTATCCACGGTGGCGAGAAGCAGAGGCCCTCCAGGCTCGGTTGCTGCATTTCTCACTGGACGAGGCACAGTGGCAGGAAGACTGGGCAACTCTTGTTTCCCTAGCTGCACAACCTGGATCAGCACTGGAGCAGATGCATGTGTTCACTCTGGCTCATGTGTTGCGGCGCCCCATTGTTGTGTATGGCGTCAAGTATGTCAAGAGCTTTCGTGGCGAGGCCCTTGGCTATGCCCGTTTTGAAGGCAAGCTACTACTTTTCCTCTTTAATGATTCCTTGTTGTGGTGTGCTTGAAAAATAATACAGTGTTTGGTTTGTTCTGTGGACATCATCATTTTTCATCCTTAAGTGTGTGTTTCTGTGCGTGCTAATCAACCAAGAGATTTAAACATGTGTTGCAAGTGCCTTTTTTCTGCTGTATTTTAGCTGCTTTGCATGGGACAAACAACTGGATGCAAAAGCTGGGAATTATGAAACAGCACCTAGCCACGCTATTGGTGTGCCGCTCTAAAGGTTTAGCACCTACATGCTGAAATGCGAGATTTTCCAAGTTTTCTGGAAGCCTGCCTCCTCTTTTTCTTGTTTTAGTGCCTAGAAATAAGCTTAATTTTTTTTTACACTGAGTTCAGTGATAATTTTGTCTCGGTCATCACCAAGAGAATACATTGTGGGAGCGGAGGGCCCGAAGAAATAAAGTTCTAGTTGCTGAGGGACTATTTGTAAATGCTGTGGCTGCAGTGCCCAAGCGTGTCCGTTTTCTGATGCTGATGGAAGGAACTTCTTTGCCAATGGGGTACTCATAGCTCACAACCCACTACACGATCCCCCCCCCTCTTAGTGATGAAGGCAGAGCTATTGAGCTATTTGCAGGTGGGCCCAACTGTGTCATAGCGAGATCTTGTTACAATTCTACTTCTCCGGGTTTTACTCCAGCCTAGTATAGTTCGTGCCAACTACGTAGTTTGTGCCAACTCGCTATTTTCACTTTTGAAGAGCAACGGAGTATGTTTTGGCTTAGGTATCCTCGATCTAGCTTGAAAAACTTGTACAAATTTGAATAGACTGTCATTGAATGCCTCCTCACTCCAGCTGTTGACCTATCTACTTTTCGTCATTTAAGCATTCAGCAACACTGGGTTGGACTGTTTAAGGTACAGTCGAACACGGATATATTGAATTCAAAGGGGATCGCGAATTAGTTCAATATATGAAAAATTTGATATAAAAAATAGAGGCCCTGAGAGCTTACCTCTAGCGGATTATCACCTACAATAGGCGCATTCAAGAACGGCAACTAATTCTGCACACACGTCGCAACAGAATGATTTATTTGCATGAAAAAAATCGGTTATCTTGGCCTACTTCGTTTTTGAAATGAAGTTGAAGACTCTAGTCTAGATCTTATCAAGGTTGTCCAGGTGCGACAGTCCGGTTCTCTCCATGTCACCGATACAACGGCAAATGACGTCGAACGCTGCCACTACTTCAGCGGCGGAGTACGCATGTGTAGCCAGCACCTTGTCCGGACGATCCTCCATATCACTTGAGCTGTCGGCCTGGGCATCCTGGGTCCCTGCGACTGCAGCTACTATGTTCTCGTCAGCGAGGCTTGCTACGGCCTGGACATTATAGTCCGCTTCCACGAAGTCATCCGCAGACACTTCGTGTGAAACTGCTGCCGGAAAGCGGAACGACAACTCGCTAAACACGTCTTCTATGCGCTCGTTGTCGTCGTCTTCACCGGTTTCCTCAAGTTACGCCTTCTCGAAGCCTGCCTTGCGGAAGCAATTGACCACTGTGTCCGCCTTCATGTCTTGCCAGGCATTGCAGATCTCGGCGGGAGAAAACTTTGCGGAGACTTCTAGCCATTCCTTCGTCATTCACAGTTGGACGTCCTGGCTGCTGACAGCTTTGCTTTCACCAGTATTGGTTTTGCCAACGATGTCGTAGTGCTGCTTCAATCAGTGAAGCCACCCGGTGTTGTCGGCGAAGTTTTTCACCGAGTGCAGCGGCAAACCATTTCGCCTTGGCGATCAGCATCGGGCCATCCACCGGAATTTTCTTCTAAAAACCAGGCATAGAGTGCCTTTTCTTCATTCCCGTGGGCAGAAGCGCGCATGACAGGCTCCCGACGTTCGCTGCTTCGCTGTCTTTCAGCAGTGGCAGTGCTTCGCTGTTCGCTGCTCCGCCGACGTTCGCTGCTCCGCTGTCTAACAAAGTACTCGGAGTGCTTTGTGGTATCTCGAGGTCGTCCGTGACGGTCGAGCATTTTTCACCCGTCTCAACACGCTGAATAGCCTTCAACTTCATCACAAAGTCAAGGGTCTTGCACTTCTTGACGCTGGCCATAACTACACGAGAAGTTGACAATTTGAGGAGTCCGCAGCAATTTTGCGCACCACGCACGCAAAAGAGAACTGCTGCCCATGCGATGGTACGTAGGCGACGCGACAAATGAAACAAAGCCTGGCAACGCGCTCGCGAGGAGATGGCCACCTGTGAGGGCAACAGCTAAAGGCGCAAGCTGTGGTTGGCTGATCAAACCTCGCAAAACAGCAACAAAAAATAAGAAGCGAAAAGAGGAGGACGTCGGCTTCTTCGTTCCTGCTTTGCGAGCCGACGGTTACGCGGAGAAAGCATGTAAGAGAAAAAGATACGAAAAATTGTGCAGTCCGAGCCCTCTCGTCCTTACCTTTTTTCGAGCTTTTCGGGTTTTGATGGAGGCGTGGTGCCGCACGGAGGTCGCCGGGTGTGCGAGTGCCAGAACGCGCCTTCCAGCTCGCGCGGCCTTCAATATATCCAAAGGCGGGTAAGAATACCGTTCGATGTAAACGTGCGAATTTCTATACTTTTACAAAGGAGCTTCAACGGGATAAATTAAAGTTCGATGTACCCGAAAATTCAATATATGTGGGTTCGATATAACCGTGTTTGACTGTATAAGCATCACTGTTCTGCCTGTAACCTCCAATATTTACTATCTTGCAGGTTGTCTTGCCTCCAAAATCATCACATCGCTCTTGATGAGAAAGTTTTGATAACACATAAAGATAGGTTTGTGAAAGGCTTACCCGAAGGAGCATCTGGGAAGAAACCCGGCATTCTCCACTGCTGTCGCGCACCAAGACGCAATGGCCGGGTTCATCGACTCTCCGACACGGCGCAGAAATGGCCCTTGAGGCAGTTTGTCAACAAACATGGGTTTATTAACTTAAGATGCAGCACCATGCGATAATCGCGGAATAGCGGGTCATTAGGGTAACTCCGCAAGACTGATGAAGTACACTAGCCTGTGGCACAATGGTTGCCACACAAAGGGGGAACCACCTAAGTGTGCGAACAAAAAGTCGCCCTCAAAGGTAGAGCATCACTTCCTTGTTGCAGGTGTGCAAGCATCTCTCTCAGCCAGTGAGCATCAGGCGGAAACGAGCTGAAAGGAGGGGGGGGGGGGGGGGGGGGCTGCCACAAGCCAATGAGGATCAGCAAAACACAGTGATGTGCGTTAATGTTACGAGAGGGGAAGGCATTGTCTGGGCCTGTTCAGACATATGTTTTGATGTAGGGAAAATGAACGCTTAGCTTGCACCTGATAAAAAGCCTGGTGGTGACAATGTTGCCGATTCATGGTGGTTCCCAGTGCGCGAAGACTATGGGGTCAGCACTCCTGATAGCTGGGGAATAAGGCGTTGGATCGCAGCCATGTTGGCTTGTTCTACTGCTTCGATGTGGTGTAATCTGGTCTTTCTCCAGTCGTGAAGTTGCGTTGCCCATGCTTCGTTTGGCTTGTGGCATGTTGTTGAACTTTCGTGGATGTGGCCGCAGCAGAGGATCTTTGGTATTTTGTCGAGAGCATCCACACCTCCATCGATGGCTGCCCTTGGTATTCTGAATAAGAGCTTGGCGAGCGGTCCTGAGTAGGGCCGGCTTATTGCCTGCGGTGCGGTGAAATGGAGCATCCCAGCAAACACAATCTGGAAGATCCTCAGCAACCACTGTGCTCCTGCAAGGTAGTGATGCTGCGTAGTCTTTCACCCTGCTGTGAATGCGATGTGCCATTGCCGAAACCACCCGATCCCATCTGTCGGTACTGGCAGGCGGTGGTAGGTTTTACCAGCTTTTCCCCAATAGAAGCAGAGTTGGCAGTGGCTGGGGGCACACCCAACATTAATCGTCCTCGGGGCGTAGCGCTAGCCTACAGGTGGGCGGTGTATTGGCAGTAACTGGCGGCAAAACTGCGGTGGTGCGATGCCTTCTTGTGGGCACGGCACCTTCACGAGGGGGAGCATGTTCGATGTGCTGCAGCAGCATAGCTTGTCGTTTGTGGCTCACGCTGCACTGCTTCAGGTGCTGCCAGATCTTGCTGGACTTCCCGGTGCACGATGTTAGTGATTGGGTCCAGCTGAGGTTGTGAGGATGGCAACAATTTGCGCCCTCTTGAACGGTTGCTCTGATGGTCTCACACAGGTAGTTTGAATGCAGTGCTTGAACCTCACCGTAGTATGTCGAGGAAATTTGGCAGTTGTACACAATTCAAGCGCCCTTTTGATTGTCATGGCCTTCCTGGTAAAATTGATGAAAGTTTTTTGTGAATTGCTTACAAGCCCGGCAAACAGGTCTTGCATACATACGCAAACCCCATGCATACATACGCAAACCTTCTTTTTCTCGGCCATGGCGGGGTTAGCATGGTGGAAGAGTCAGGTCATTTCCTCTGCGAAGGTGGTTACGCTTTCATTTGGAAGTTGCACCCATGTTCCCAACAAGGTCACAGTCCTTTCCTTTCAGATGACACTTGTGAATGTTTCCGAGAAAGTGCTGCGAAAGATGTCCCAGGTTCGAAGAGTGGACTCCTGATTCTCAAACTAGATCCTTGCTGCGTCATCCAGTAAAAGTTCATGTGGCGTAGCTTGTTGTCAGTGTTCCAGTTATTGAATGTTGAGACCCTTTTCAGCGTCTCAATCCAGGTTTCACGGTCTTCACTTGGCGATTCATGAAACTAGACGCTCTCTGGATGGCGTCATGATGATCACCGCAGGGACACTGCAGTTGTAATCATGCCTGTAGTCTTCGTCGCCATGGCTTTTGCGTGGTCAGGTAGAGGTCCAAACTTCGGTTGAAAACATTGCAGCCTGCGGCTAGCTTACTGCTGCTGTAGGGTTGGTGCCATAATTTTTTTACATTGATAGTTCATAATTAGAGACCGGAACATTAGGCACGAAAAAAGAATGTTTTAGGCGCCTATAA